ACACACACACACACACACACACACACACACACACACACACACACCAGATTAGATTACCAGATTAGCCCTGCCCCTCAGTCCCGCAGAGCCTCAGTGGGTAATCCAGACAGGGTCGGCCTGAGGTTCTGACCAGGAACAGAACCACCTCAGCTGCTAAATAATATCACAAACTGCTGAATATTAATTTTATAGTAAAACAGTAAAAGATTTAAAATATTACTAAAGTATTTATTTATACTTAATTTTTTAATATTTAAGATCAAAACAGAAATTTTAACTTAACAAAAACTAAAATAAATGTTAAGTTTTTTATATTTATAATTTATTTATATTTAGACTAAATATTAAAAAAGGTCATTTTGTTTAAAATTTTTTATCGTTTTCAAAAAATTTTAACTTATTTATTTTCTTTAACCTTAGTTTCAGTGAAAACTTTTTGTTGTTGTTTACACTGGGAGCGCGCGCGCGCGCTGCGGAGGCGTGTTCGCGCCGCGCGCTCCCGCTCAGAGCCGCTTACAGTTMGGGCTGCAGCGGCTCGGAGCTCCGGGGTTCCGGTTCGGTCATTCAGCCGCTGAGGCTCTCTGAAAGCGGACCCTCCCGCGCCTCAGGACCAGGACCAGGACCTGGACCTGGACCTGGACCTGGACCAGGAGAGGTTCGGAGGAGGCTGTTCGTGGTTCGGAGATGGGAAACATTCAAAGATTTGAACTGAGTCAAAGTTTGGGTTTGGAGACAGAACCGGGACCAGAACCAGAACCAGGGATTTAGTCAGGTTTCGGTTTGCAGCGGACCATGAGACCTGCACAGGTTCTGGCTCGGTCCGGTTCTGTTTGGACCACTTTCTGCCTGTGATTCTGCAGCCGCTGGTACCGCCTGGTACCGGCTGCGCTCCCCGGTACCTCCATAAATCTGTGCCCCATCACGGACTGCGGCACCGGAACCGGATCCACCCAAACAGGTGAGATTCTCAGAAAAACCAGGTCGGTTCTGACCCAAAGAGGAACTGGATCAGAGTTTTATCAGGTGCAGAACTAAACCCAGATGAGTTCTGGTTCTGGTTGTGTTGAGTTCTCTGAACAGGTCCAGTCTGGACCGGATCATCGGTTCTGTTCAGGTTCTGTTCAGTTTGATGGACCAGTCTGTCCTCTGTGTCTCCGTCAGCTGTCCTCCGACCCGCCGGTTCTGTTCTGACCCACATGAGGCCCCCCCTGCTGGACTGACGTCAGGAGTTCTGACCCGCCACCATGGGCACGGTTCTGTCGCTGTCGCCGGGCTCCCGGAAACCCGGGTACTACCAGAACCAGCCAGGCCCGCTGAGCCGCTACCCGAGCCTGAGCAGCCGGTCCCTGAACAGCCAGAAGGACCGGAACCTGAAGCGGGGCCGGTCCATCTTCCTGCCGGCGCTGACCTGGAAGCGCCTGGTGGCCTCCACCAAGAAGGGGACCAGGACCGGACCGGGCGGGCCCCCGGGCCTCCTGGACCCCCTGAACAACAACAGGTACCCGAAGGACCCGGTTCTGCACCTGAACCGCGAGAACGTCCAGAAGTCCCTGTCCTGTGCCAACCTGTCCAGCTGTGAGGGACTGGGGCTCGGGTTGGGGACGGGTCCGGGGCTCGGGTTGGGCTACACCAGAACCCGGCCCCTGTCCTCGCTGAAGAAGGCCCCCCAGGGGACGGCGTCCCCGAAGCGGGTCATMGTCCAGGCGTCCACCAGCGAGCTGCTGCGCTGTCTCGGGGACTTCCTGTGCTGCCGCTGCTACCGGCTGGAGCGCCTGAGTCCGGCTGACCCGGTCCTGTGGCTCAGGGCCGTGGACCGGGCCCTGCTGGTCCAGGGCTGGCAGGACCAGGCCTTCGTCACGCCGGCCAACGTGGTCTTCGTCTACATGCTGTGCCGGGACGTGGTGGACGGGGACGCGGTGTCGTCGGAGCGCGAGCTGCGGGCCGTCCTGCTCACCTGTCTCTACCTGTCCTACTCCTACATGGGTCACGAGATCTCGTACCCCCTCAAGCCCTTCCTGGTGGAGGCGGGCCGGGACGCCTTCTGGGACCGCTGCCTCGCCATCATCGAGGCCACCAGCGCCAAGATGCTGCGCATCAACGCCGACCCGCACTTCTTCACGCAGCTCTTCGCTCAGCTCAAGAGCGAGGGCGCTCCTCAGGACTACAGCCGGGTTCTGGATCGGTGAGACCACCTGTCCCCGTCAACGGGTCGCCTCTGACTCCAGGAGCAGTTTGACCCATCAGAACCCTGGTTCTGGTCCCAGACTGACCCGTCCCTTCACGTTTTATTGGAGATGGTCTGGACTGATGGGGGGACTGGTGTTGTACGAAATTCAGTWCCCCTGTGAAAATCTGTTTCCMAGTGATTCCCTCTAAGGTTAACAACAGGGGGGAACAGATTTTCACACAACACCGGGTCCAATCAGCCTGCTGTGTTCTGGAGCCGTTTGAAGCTGCAGGGTCCAGATTTCTGTTTGTTTATTCAGACATGGTCACACACACACACACACACACACAC